GAAGAATTGACTCGAAAGTCAATGAACGGTCGCGATTCCTCGCTCATTCAAATCTACCATACCTGTATGATCAATACGGACGACATGAGCAAAATCCTTGAAAATGCATTCCACGCAATTTTGAAGGCTACATAAATCGTACGGGATGAAAGCTATATTCAGCAAACTTTTCTTTTTAAAGATCTTCTCAGGCTAGCAACGGCTCAATTTGGTTCGGATGTATTTTTTTTATTTTCTAATTCTACTGTTTTGTTCGATATTTGTTATAGTACAATCCAAATGCACTCTTATTACAGTGTACTTGGAATTCTTTTGAATGCTGGCGATTTTGCCTGCTTCTTAATTTTATATGATTTTCATTCGATGGAAGTGCAAGGGTAGAGCAGTCGTAGGAGGTGTCGTGTTGCACTTTCTCTGTGACAGTTCTTGACGTCTATTTGGGACTGTGGCAACTTCTGTGCCATTTCATTTTATTACATTCGCCTATATAAAAATTGAGATAAATATCGGATTAAAGTAAACATAAGAATGTCGAAATGAGATAAATATCTGGACAAGCAATGTATAAAGGATAAAGGATAAAGCATTTGCCGTTGATCAATCCCTTTTTGGGATGCGGCACGCATTCTACTTCCATTTGTACATTCGTAGTGGCGTTTGAATGCGATGTGGCCTATACAATGACTTGCGGGGGCCAGCCGATGTACAAGTCAGTGTTTTATCCTCCCAGACAAGTCTGGTACCAATTAACCGACCCCGGAGGGATGGAAGGCTTGGTTGGCCCGGGCGACTCACGACCCAGGATTTGATCCCCGGACCGCTCGCGTGGTAAGCGCGCCACTTGCCACTACACCACTTCCGCCCTATAAGCAATGTATACGTAAAAAAATACTGAACACTTCTGCCAACCAGGAAGGATTTGACTCAGTGGCGCACCATTAATCCACTTTTCCTTTACTCTCCTTCAGCCACCACCCACTCAAAGGCACAATCTAATCGTAAGACCAGTGGAGGGATAGAGAGACGAAAGGCGACGGTTTAGCAAGCGTTAGGTCGTCCTCGCGACGCCAATCGTACGCATCTGCAAGCGATATGCCAAAAGGATTAAACTCGATGTGAAGCTGGCGAACTTGGTTTCATTACTGAATGGCTTCACGCCAGGAGTAGTTCTTCTTCTGGTTCAAATTCTGTCGAAGAGGCAAATCGGAACATGGCTGTAAGACTTTGCTTTTCCGCTCCAAGATTCGAACAAAAATCAAAGGAATGAGGGGCTAATTAGGGTTGAGGAGCTACCGCAAGACAAGGGGCATCTCTTAAGGCTAAGCCTATGAGGGTCAGGAGCTCTGGGGAAAATAAAAGTTGTTCACGCAGTTTGGGGTCTTACCCCACCTCTTCCCGGAAATATTCATAGCAGGGGAGGTTTTCTACGCAGTTTTGGATGCATCACCATCACAATGCCCCCTATCCTGCGATAGCGCTAAGTTGAATTCATGCTTTGGTAAAAGTTGGTTTAGCACAAAAAAGGAGCTTTGCTACAGAGACTGTAACGTTCTGTGGAACATTATCGTGCACGGACTAGACCACCACAAGTATAGCAGTGCCTTCCTGATCCGTATGCTAACAGGGTCAACCGTCACGTTCGAACATTTTCGGGATTTTTGCGACCCCCTAGCTCTCGAGGGGGTCCAGTTGCGACCCCCTGTTTTTGTTAATAAGAGTGCTAGACATGAATCCGTTGCGCCAGAAAGCGTCTGCGCGTCGTCGCGTCGGCCTTGGAGCGCGGCAGGTATCACCCGGGCGCTGGAAGAACGGGACGCGGCGAAGAAAAAATTTTAGAGGGGAATAACTTTCTTGGGACGTACTTTTTTGACTTGTTGAGGTAGATTTTGATGTGCCTGAGGTGCGCTTTCAGAAAACTACAAGGATTGCCTAACTCTCCGGAAAGTACTTCTGTTAGAAGTGGAAAACCCAAAATTCTAAGAAGGCGCACCTTCAACTTTGAAGGCCCATAAAATCTTTCGTATGCGACATTTTGGAAATCTGTAAAAAGTTTCAGAAACTTCAAATATTTCTCTAACAAAACAGTATAAAAAGTTTAGTGATTGTCCCCTTTTTCAAAAAATTGTCCCGTTCGAACATTTTTCGTGCAAAAGCGAGTTTTTGGGCTTTCAGCGACCATAACTCACTTCATTTTCATTTCTGTGATGCACTTTTTTCATGGGGTGAAAGTACAGGATTTGCTCTTTCTAACAAGCCCTAAACCGTTTTTCAAAGTTCATTTTTCGAGAAAATCACACGTTCGAACATTTTGGGGGGTTTTGCCGAACACTTTTTTTGAAATCGCGAGTTTTTGGGCTTTAAGCGGGCATAACTCACTTCATTTTCATTTCTGTGATGCACTTTTTCATGGGTGAAAGTACAGGATTTGCTCTTTCTAACAAGCACCAAACCGTTTTTCAAAATCATTTTTCGAGAAAATCACACGTTCGAACATTTTGTTCCCATAGGTTTTTGAGCAGCACATGCGAGTTTTTGAGCTTTCAGCAATAATAACTTCCTTCAAAGAACTTGTTGGGGAGGGGCGAAGACATT